TGCACCCCCCTAATTCTTCCTGACTCTTTTTTACATGGGTTTTTCTCAGGCAAAAAGCAAATGAAGAGGTTGGGTTTGGATGGTTTTTTATTTTTTATTCTATTTTATAGGACTGTGAGTGCAGCAGCACTTGAATGTTGCAAGAGGAATGCTGTTAATTCCTGAGACTGTTGTATATATCCCTGGAGAGAATGACTGGAGGGGGAGTATTTTTTCCGAGATGTACTGCTTAACAGAGCAGAGAGAAGCAGAGTTTGAGGGGTTTGATTATTATTGTTTTCCTTGATCTTTTTGATCTGCCTTCTTTCTGCCTTTCTCAAAATCCACCTCAAGTTTCCCCCACCTCTCATGGCTGAGGAGCAGGAAACAAGACTGAGCTCTGTTTCCTGACATCCAAAGAAATATAAAAGTACAAGGAAACAGTGTATTTTGTTTTGCCAGCCGACTCGGATTCTCAGACCTGCACTGGGAAGGCACCTGCTCCCAGGCAGGTCAGGAGTCACCCCCTAGGCAATTGGCCAGGGAATAACCAAGAGCTGATCATTATATGAATTTTTTGGCTGTGTGAATGCAGGATGGGAGATGGTGACAAATGTATTTTGCTCTGGGTGAAGAACTGCCTAAGGTGAAGTTCAGTGTCAATGCTGGTTCTGCCAGCTGTGCTGATGGGGAGATGAATTGGAGGTTTCCAAAGTTTAAAGTCAGACTGGGCAGTGGGTGAACCTCCAGATGTTGGTATTTCTGAGGCTAACAGCAGTGCTAATCTGGTATGGTAAAGCTGACAGAAGCTGGCAAGTTGAGCTGGATTTACAGCTGCTCTGCATTGCTGGAACAGGCAAAGGAGCCAGAGCATATCAGTGGATCTGGCCTATAGATTTCAGCAAGGTTTCTCTGTTTAACTGGGAGAGAATATAGCTCTGCAGTTGGAAGTTGGTCAACTGCTCTCTTGCTGTGCCAGAAGGAATAAAATCCGTCTCTCTCTCTTATCTGCATCCTTTTTTTCTTTTTTTGACTAGCAACAGGATTTTTTTTTTTTTTTCCCCTTGAAAACAGGACTTGCTTTCATTGAAGTGGGAATCCTAACTTTGAGATTCTAGTTGGGGGAGATTTGTCCTTGTTCAGGAGACCAGTGCAACATGGGTAAATCTTTTCTAAGGAAATAAATGGAATTGAAATGATTAAATGACCCTGTCTTGGTATTATACAAAGGGGTGGGTTTCACCCTCAGGGCAGCAGAACTGCAAAGAAAAAAGGTGTCATTTTTAATCAGCCACTTTCTGAGGGTGAGCAGCACTGGTAAGCCTGAGCCACTTGCTAATGCTGCATTTGATGCTCTCCCAAATTTGTTGTCATTGTGGCTTCTAGTTTCTGCACCTCCCCCAGAACAAAAAAACAGACATAGCTCATTAAATACTAGCATATGCTTCCCAAATCATGTGGCACCTTCATTTTCCTGACTTTTGACAAAGGGACTGTGCATACAACCCTGAATGAAGTGTAGTACGGGGAGATGAAGGATTCCTCTGTAGGTGTTCCGACCTGGCATAACCCTCCAAACAGGAGAGCTGCTCTTTGCCAGCACCTTCCCAGTGGAGCACCTCATTCAGCTTGGCAGGAAGGATGAAGAGAAAGCACAAAGAGGAGCATCAAAGAAAGGAGGAGGAGAGAAATCAAGGACAGGAAGAGTGAGGAAACAGAGCAAAGGCAGAAGGGCGAGCAGAGAAACAACAGGGGGCTGGGAAGAGCACAACACAGGAAAGAGATGATGCTCTGGTCCCTGTGAGGGAAAAGTTGTTTTTAGATTAGTGTAGACCAAAAAAAAAAAAAAAGGAAGGCCAGAGAATTAAAATACATGAAGTGGGAAAGGAGGGTATCACAGTGATGGGGGGGGGGGGGGCAGGGGGGGATGCTATTGACATGAACAGAAAAATACAGAAAGCGCACAGATTAATTTCATACACTGGTCCATATGATTTTGAATAGTAGCTGCCAAGTTTATAGCATCAAAAGCTTGTGACTTTCTCCATGTGGAGATTTTGAGGGCCAGTGGGGAGCAGTTGGGGTGCATTGTGCGGCTGCTGCAGGTACCAGAGTGGGTGGTTGGAGGCAGAGATTTTCTGTGTGCTTTGACTGGAAGCCTAAAGCCGGTATGAATATACCTGAGGAAAACTGCTCATCCTGCATTTGAAGACTGGCAGTCAGGAAGATGTGTCTGGCTCTCTCCAAGGGTATCTGAGGAAGGCCTGTTGCAATTCCAGTGGGAATAAGGGCTCCCTCTAGATCGCTCTTCTTCCGCTTGTTCAAGCTATCTAGGCTACCAGAAATAAACAGCTGAATGGAGTTCTGGCTGTGAAAAGAAGCTTTTGAATGAATGGTACATCAAATAATGAAAGTCTTCTTTCCGCCTCCTCTCCACCTACCTTGTTCCTAAACATTAACATTGCATGTCACTTGAGCTAAGTTCAGTGTCAGACTCACCAGATACTGCTGAAAAATACACCCCTCTTTTGTGGCAAGCTGGAGATGATGAGAGGCTTGTGGTGTTTTTCCTTTTCAATCTCTGCTTTGCTGGGAGCAGCTGCTAAGGCTGCGTGAAGCTGCCTCCTTCCCACTCTCCTAAACTTCACTCCTAAAAATGCTTCTTCCTCAATGGCTTTGCCACTTCTCTGAAGGTGGCATGGCTTGGCCTACTTCGGTCAGTCATTTGTGAGGGAATGTTTTCTCAGACTGTGGTGACTTCATCATGACAGGAGGCTGAAGAAGATTGCTGTGGAACAAGTCGTGGGCACTGCTAGCTGATGCCATTTGTGCCATTTGGAAATCATTACTTAAGCATGAAAGAGAAGAAAAGGATCAGGAACGATGAGATTTAAGCCCTGCCCGAAGCCCCAAACCTCCAAATGATTTCTGGCATTTCTGCTTCTTGTTTTCGAAACATTTGAGCTGTACTTGTGGTAGATTTTTAAACTTTATTCCAAAATTGTATGGGTGAGAAATACCCTTTCTCTAAAATAGGTTGCTTTGTGGGAAGTGGCACCAGCATGTGTTCTCCCTGGACTTCTCACCCACCTCCTTCATGTCACTGCCAGCACTCCCTAGGTTGCCGTGCAACACCTGAGGGCTGAGTGTGGGACATTGCTCTGGCTTTCCTCCTCAGAGCCAGCTACCAGTTTTCTCTAGATTTGTGACAATGTAATCAAGGAAATATAGTGAAATTTGTTGTCTAAGAGGGAAGATACAAATGTGTGCAGAGGTGGAGAAATGTGCATTCCAATAGTGGAGAAGAAGAATGGTTCTCATGGTCATGTCTGTGGTATGTGGTAGTGGTATATGCAGTATGTGGTAGTATTTATGATAAAGGTGAATGCTTTTATGGTAAAAACATGGGGATCTGAGCTTACCTAATAATAATTTTTCCTCCTATAAAGAAAACAAGCGGCGAAGTGGCACAAGAAGGAAATGGCGAAAACAAACCTTTTGACAGTGAGCAGAGTCTCACTGCCATTGGTGGAGTAAGTAGGGACGCTCATTTATTGCACTAATGTTATGCAGAGATGTGCTGATACTTGCTTATTTTGATTAGCACTGAGAAACAGAAGCAAAAAATTGAACGTGGCTTTGGGATGCTGTAGTACAAGGCTGAATCACCTGAAATTGAAGCCCATTCGAGGTCGAAATATGATGCGTGATGTTTGTCTAACCCCAGATTTCTCAACCTGTATCTGAATTTCTCAGCTGTTAGAAAAAAATCACCCTTTTCACAGAGGTTTTTTTCTCTTCCCTTGCCTTGGTGTCCAGTCCAGCAATGAGGAATCAGATTTAACCCTCAGTGTTTGTTTCAGGCCCTGTGAGTTCTTTTGCGGCAGTAAAACAATTATATTTGATAGACGCACTAGTTGTTTGCTAATTTGTTTGTAATCAGTTTTCCAAGAGGTTGCTTTGATGTGGGAGGAACTGAATTCTTTGGGTGCAAATGCTTGTTGCTGACTCTCTTCTTAGTCATTAAGAGGTGTTTTTCACATTAAGGTGCCTTTACTTTAAAGGGAAAATGTCAAGCATCTTCTGATACCAGACGTACGAAATGTGTGGTTGCCAAAACAGAAACTGTTTGCTAAGGAGCAGCATGTGAGGGAAGGAACAGCTAAGACCAGCCCAAGCCTTTGCTGGCCTACCAGGGAGAGGCCAAACAGCCCCCTGTCTCCTCTGGCTGCACTGCTGCTTGCAGCCCGGAGGACCTGAGACCCCATGGGTGCTGGTTGCTGCTACTGACCTACATCCCTGCTGATATGCCTCTATGCTGAAGATGTCACCATTCTTTTTAAAAGAAAACAGAAGAAAAGTAGAAAAGAAGTGTCTTCTTTTTTTTTTTTTTGAATTCCCTTGCCATCTTTTTATATTTTCCCACTGCAGCTCTTTTAAGGCTTTGTATAGATTAGTTTTGGAAACTGGGGAACCAGGAGGAGGGATGAAATTTGGGGGAGTTAACTGCAGTAGAAGTAGAAAGCTCTTTCCCTCAGTGTGCTCTTTCATCCCTCTCCTTTCTTCTCATGACCTCCGTGGTCTGATCCCCATTTCATTGCTTGTTCCAGGGCAAACCATAGGCATTGCTCTTTGTGCCCAGTGGGTGATCTCTTCCCGCACGGAAGCATGCCAGTTTTGCAGGCTGTACTCACTGCTTCTTCCCTACAGTGGACATAGTTTCTCTTCTGCTTTTCTGGGTCAGCCACTTGGCCAAGAAGTGGTAGGTGGTCAAGCAGAGTTTTGAGAGCTGTGACATACTGGTAGCACTTCAGAGGTTAAGTGCCTTACGGTAAGTTGTATGCAGAGAAGAATGCATTTCCTCTTATTTTCTCAGTGGGGCAGCCCCATCAAGGTAGTTGGCTCTTTCTTGAAACGTTGGCATGGTTTTGCATCAGAAAATGTTGCATGCAAAGTTACCAAACTTTGCAAAAAAACACGATTTTTTTTAGAAGACTGGAAGACAATGGCTGAAGACTGACCTAGCGGTGAGACTTGGAGCTCATCTTTTGACTCTGGGACATAGGGTAGGTCTTGGTGAGCCTGGATCCTCAAACCGTCTGAGCTCTTCTGCACGGAGATGGTCATTTTGCATCATGCATTTTGAATGCAAAAATATAAGGAGAAATTTTCTGTGAAGGAGCACCCAAAAAGCTGTTTTTTTTTCTGTGTAGGTTTTCTAAAATCACCAGTGCATAGAAAGACATTGACCATGCAGTAGGTCAGGCTGCCCTTTTGATAACTGAGGCAGTGTTCGGATAATTGAGATTCCTGTCATTGCCTGTGAAAATTTGCTGATGTTTACACTTCTGTCAAGCACTGAAGTCACACCATCATATTTATTGTGGGATCTTGCAATGGATTTTAAAATAGATCAATATCAGAGCACACAGTGAGAATTTTCCTCATTTTTTCTATGGCTATGAAAATGCCTAAATTGCAGTATAGTGCAGTAAATGTTAAACATTAAAAGCTGGTTTTGTGTGTACTGATAAGAGTAGATTGGTAGAGCACGAAGTAACTTGATTTTGGTTGGTAAAGGTGATAGGAGTATGGTGGAAGTCAAAGCAGAGGAGGATTATAGACTCAAAGCATCTTTGAATGGGTTTGGGTCAGCAACATAACAAGAAGCAATAAACCTAACTTAAAAAAAACCCCATGAGGCAGATGATTCTGTACAAGAAGCTCCACAACTGATGGAAGAAGTCAGCCAAATATAGAGGGAATGAAATCAAGAGAACATGAAGTACTGTCTTGAAACTACCATGCTATGGCAGAGATCAATTAAAATGTGCAGAGTGGTTATGCAAAATGTTCACTGTAGGGAAGTCGCTGTTTCCCATAGATTCTAGGAAGGAGTGCTGGCACACTGCCGGCAGGGATTTATTTTCACCCGGCCCTGGTGCTTGTGGCTGGCACTCAATGAAATCTTCCAGGGTAAATTATTTATTTAATTAAGAATGGCCACAGTTGCACCGAGAGACTGGCAGCACAGCAGCAGGAAATCTGTTAGGGATTAAGTCTCACTTCTTGCAGATAGCCTGCTTATGTATACTATAAATAACCAAAATCATAGACAAGTGTATGTTGGCATTTTTTTTAATCTTATCAACAGCAGTTCATAATACTGAATGCAGTGTATGTATTGGTGTGTGGTGTAGTCCTTTTACTTTCTTAATTAACTAGCCCATAGGCTTGTGCAGCAAGCTAAGACATCAGATTGTTGCTATCTGAACTTCCGAACTTTTCAGTTCAGAGAAGGAAAGAAAAGTTCAGTTCAGGAAAGGAGATGTCAGTAAGAGAAGAGTCAAATTTACAAGTGCGTAAGCATGAACAACCCAAAAACTTTCATTTCAGTAGGCATTCCATAAAAGTGAAGAGAGAAATCCCCCTCTTCTGCCAACTAGGCAACATAATGCTTTCTTCTTAGTTTAACATATTCCAGAGATAACAGTTATAGCTGTTGGTTTGAGGGAGTCCCAGGAAGATAGGAATTTGAGTATAACTAATGAATCTGTCATTCCAGGAGAAATCCCTGGAGTGTCTCTACCACATTCCATGTTGTTCTAAGTATTGCTTTTTTTTCTTTCTTTTTTTTTTTTTTTAAGGTGAGGCAGTGTGATTTAGTAATTGTGCTTTTATCAATAAATCAGATTTTGAAAAATTCAGTCTGAGCTTGACCCTTGCTTTCTTTCCGTGATTGTTAAGTATTAAGAAAAAGTCTTGCAAGAGGAAAAGGAAAGCACTTGGGGATTTATGCTGTGTAGTTTGGCGTTAAGGAAGAACATTGGCAAAGGTTTTGAAATATACCAGAAATGTGCAGCTTTTAAACATTGGACTTTCGGGTTTTTGAACTGCTGAATAAGCAAATCATCACAGAGCTAAATTCACCTGCCGGGGGCAAGTTCCCCTTTCGGTGGGGGCCAGCAGGCAGGCTGCCAGCAGCTAAGGTGGGGCTCTCTCCTTTGCATGGGGTGGTTTTGACCTTCCGTGCTCCTCCACCTGCATTTCCTCTTCAGTCCTGCTGGCTGTCTGATGGTCCTTGCTGAAGCTGTTGGCAGCAATGTCTGAAACACCCCTCCACTTTGACAGGTTGGCTTTTCTGCCTCCAGTGCTGCCAAAACTTGGAATGAATGGACGGCTGGGGTTTGAGGAAGGGTTTCCCACTCTCCTGGCTCTGGCTTCATGTGCTGGAGGGGCTGCTCTTGCTACCTGTCCTCTGCAGCCATCTGCCTGAGCCCATGCTAGGCTTGTTTGGCAGCTTGCTTGGGCTGGCTGAGGGTTTCTGATGGGTTAGCACCTTAGACTGGTTCCTCATGGACACAAACTCTAGAGCTGGCTCCTAAGTGTGGTACACCACACCTGAGCTTGGAGGACGTGGTCCTTGAATACTGATAAGCTTTCTTGGGCACCTCTTCCCTCCAGGTCTTTATCCCATGGTACTCTACAAAGCACATCCCTGAAGAGGCCCAAGTCTGCTCTCCTGAAGTCCAGGGTAGCGAGTTTGCTGTGTGCACTCCTCACTGCCTTAAGGACCTTGAACTCCACCATTTCATGGTCACTGCAGCCAAGGCTGCCCTCAAGCATTACATTCTCCACCAGCCCCTCCCTGTTGGTGAAGACAGGGTCCAGCATAGCCCCTCTCCTCATTGGTTCCTCTATTGCTTGGAGAAGGAAGTTACCATCAGTGCATTCCAGGAACCTCCTAGATTTCTTGTGCCTTGCTGTGTTGTCTCTCCAACAGATACTGGGGGGTGGTTGAAGTTTCCTATGAGGCTACACCTATCTGTATATAGAGGGCCTCATCCACTAGGTCTTCTTGGTTCAGTGGCCTGTAGCAGACCACTATAATGTCGCCTGTCTCTGCCCTTTTTTTAATCCTGACTCATAGGCTCTCAGTCAAATCCTCATCCAACCCCACGCAGAGCTCTGCACATGCCAGCTGATAGCTGACATAGTGATACCCCCTCCTTGTCTCCCCTGCCTGTCCTTCCTGAAGGGCCTATATACTTTGATTCCAGCACTCCATTCACAGGAGCTGTCCCACCATGTCTCCATGTTGCCAATAAGACATAGCCATGCAGGTGTGCACACATCTCTAATTTCTCTTTTTTATTCCACATGCTAAGTGTGTTTGCATAGAGGCATTTCAGTTGGGTCCTTGATGAAGCTGGATTACTTAGGAAAGATGTTGAACAGTATCAGTCCCGATATGGACCTCTGGGGGGTGGGGGGGGGTCACTTGATAATGATCTGCATTTGGACATGAGCTGTTGACTGCAACTCTCTTGATATGGCCATCCAGCCAATTCCTTATCTATTGAATAGTCCATCTCTCAAATCCCTATCTCTGCAATGTAGAGAGACAGTGATGTCATGTGAGGTTGTGTTAAAGACCTTATAGAAATCAAGGTAGATGACATCATTTTTCCTTGTCCACCAATGCAGTAAGTGTAGAATAATACATGTAATAAACCTGTCATGTTTTGATAGTTAACTTTATTTGATCCCTTCAAGTCAAGTGGCATACACAGGATGTAAACAGACTGCTGAGATTACTATTATTCTAAAAATACTTTTAAAAAATTTTGGTAAAAAGCATATATCAAAAGTATTTTTGATTAATATATTGGAATAGGAATGTATGTTTTCCTCAATTTACACTTACTCAGCTGTAAGTGAGCTAGTTATTTAACAGACTCAAACTGGTAAAGTGAAACGAAGAACTCTCAGATCCTTTTGCTGCAGCTGTGGAAGAGGCTATTGCTATCAAATGCTAATCTCTTATTTCAGGAAGTTGTTTTTTACATTAAATAACTAAAACACAAGCATAACTCCCACCACTAGCACCCTTTGTTACTCATCTTAGATTCTTTCAGGGGTGTTTGCATGCAAAAGGAAGTAGCAGGTTCCTGCTTCCAAACAGAAAAAAATCATCATGTAGTCTTAGAAGCCTCTTCTAATATTTTAATTTTACTTTTCAGTTATAATCAATATTACCTGTTTTGCCATTGCTGGCACTGGGAGAAAAGCCCTAAGAGGTTGATGTGCAGGCAGAATGAGAATAGCATGACTATTTTTATGTTTCTGACATCAGTGTCCTGGTTTATCTAACGTTGTATGACACAGCGACTAAATGTTCCATACTATTCCATCCTCAGCGAGCCACATACCTTTTTCTAATATTGCCCCTTGTTTCCAAAGTTGTAGAAACTTTAAAAATATAATTTGCTAATTTGGGGTGTTCTCTTACTGTCTGGAAAACCAATAGTCTCTTTACTTTCCATAAACAATATTCCTACACTACAGTAGTGTATATTCCTGACTAGATATCTTGAGTCAGTAAGAGATAATTTATCAACTTCCTACTTCAAATATGGCATTTTAAAAACTATCATGAAGCTTTGTTATGACAGGACATATCTGCACTCTTTTATACTTATTTAGATGGGTATATTTAGTTACCGTCAAGATTCCTGTTCTGTCCTGTTTTCATTATATTTACCGTTTTCAGTCTATTTTCTGTTTTGAAAAGCAATACATTTGCACTGGGAACAGTAGAGGCTGCTCCTCCTAGCAGATCCTCATTTTTCCACATCTCTTTTTACTCAGTATTTTGCCATCTTCATGGCCCATCTGTCACATTCCCACATCTGTACCTATTCTGTACAAGGGTTTGCTGGGTTCCTTTATGTTTCAAGAAAACAGGCTTTGGAAAAGTCTGTTTCCTTCCAGAAGCAGTTGCCCAAACCAGCCTTGTGCTAGGGCTCTTGTATGAGAACTGACAGAACTGACAGCTGCTTGGAAGGAAAAAAAAAGAAAAAGAAAGAGGAAAAGTGAACTATGCCAAAAATTTCACTTTCCACATGGAGTAAAATGCCTGTTTTACGTGAACTATTCCTTTTGACTATTCCTTGTTCAACCAGCCCCTTGGTCTTTTAATAATGTAGAGATTTGGACTGCATCCCCTTAATGAGTACTGACTAAGCCTGTTGTGTCCTTTCCCAGGCAGCATGTGTGAAGGTAGAGTTAGCTAAATGTTCTAGTAAGGTGCTAGAGAAAGGGAGCCCCAGGTCCCTTCCAAATGC